CACTGGAGCGGTGTAAAAACCTTTTAGCAATTTAGTCCCCCTTCATCCAACTCCAGCTAAGTGTATACAGTCTCTGGAATATTGCTGTTTGCCTCTAACTGCAAATATTGAAGCTAACAAAAATCAATAGCTCATTAGCATTATCAGACATGTCAAAACTTTCCTGCTCATGTATTTCCCAGGCCTTGCTTTTCCCTTCTGGCCACTCAAGTTATGGAGTTTTTTTTTCTTTCTTTTCATTTTTATTAGTTTCAGGTTTCTGTAAGATACAACAAGTATTATCATACTATCAATAGAGCAGTTCTAAAATCTGAATTTAAAAATTTAATTTAGTTATAGCACTCCAAAGCTTTTTGGTATAATCAATCAAATAAGCTTCGTAGCCAAAACAGATGTAAGGAAACGTCAAATTAATGTATGGGAAAGTCTATTGATGGAAAACGGTACATAAAAACACTTAAAATGTTAAAAGCATTCTAGCACATCAAAAGACACTAGAAAGAGAAACTATCCTCTACCCTATATATTCAGGGGGAAAAAATAAATGGCTTTAAATCCAGAAGAACTATACACTGATATTGGTAAGTTAGAGTTTCATTTTCACATGGAGTATTAAATAGCCATTAATAACAAAGTCATGCATTTTGCTACATTAATAGTTATTTTTAAAAATTGTCAATGATTCTATAAAAAATTGTCAATGTGACTAATTTTAAATGGCATGTAGAAATTTATATCTGAAGTATCCCTTGGATGCTAATATAAAAAAATTAAGTTTTCTATCAAGAATATTAACAGAAAAAGCTATATCAGTCACATGTCTACTAGTGGCACAGTAGATCCAGTTTGTTTAAATCTATAAATAAGGCCTTCCTGGTGGCACAAGGGATTCAGTCTCAGCTCTATGGCTATCAGCAGTCACTAAAGCACAAGTTCGATCCCTGGCCAGGAAGGTGACCCACATGGTGCAGCAGACCTCTCCTGATCCACCCACTGCTCCCCTCAGCAGTTTATTTCAGTACATCTGCCTTTTCTGTTCCCTACTCTGTCTCTGGTGAATCCTCCCATCACCACCTAGCTCTTGTATGCATGTATAAATCTTCAAAAAGATAAGTCTGTTAAATAATATCAATAGAAGAGACACAGATTAAAATGTTTTCCTGATAGGTTTGTTAACAATGTAAACTAAACTGAGAGAGCTTAGAATGTGAGTAAAATTTAAGTACATATGCATCAGTGTGATTAGGTATGACTCAGTCACACCTAAAATTATTATAAAATTACATACTTTTCAAAGGATTTTTATTTTATAAAATTCAAGCAATCAGTATTTTAATTCTAGAATTCTGTGCATGTTGTTAAGGCATTCAATTAACAATTCAATATGAATTCTTTCCTAAGAATTAAAATTGGTTCAGTGTGTATTTGCATAGGTAAACACAAATAATAAATGCCTGTACCAACTACATATGCTACTTTAAAAGTAAATTATCAACAATGATAAAAGATCATTCAATTGGATGAATGGAATGGTACAATATTCCCTGTGTGTATGAACAGTGTATCTCTGCGACTTTATCCCACATAAAAGTTTTTTTAATTCTCTGTTATTATCAACATTTTCCTTTTAAGTAGTAGTTTTCCTTTAAATTCCAGGTCCACTGGTCTTCCTATCACTTACTTATATTTCCTTTCTTCTTAAGTTAAAATGTGTTTCTCAAGCTATTGCTGGCTTCCCAACCTCACAGCCATACCGGGATTGTCATCTCTCTTTTACAAAAAACAGCGAAGTAAGAGAAACAAATGGTGAAATTTCTTGGTAGGAAGCCCATGTATACATTAAGTGTTTTGACACCAGAAATACTAACATTAGAGTGTATCAATTTTCTCCCTCAGAACTGCATTTTAATTTGCATTCTCTGTAAAGTTCATAATAATGACAGGGAACTAGAACTCATATTTAGGCACAGAAAGCAGCATTGAGGTTTTCCATACTAGCTCTAGGACCAGAAATTCCTCTGTTGTGCTATTTTGTTATGAGGAAGAAAATAATCTCTGAAATATATTTGAAAGTGACTATAAATTGTTAGCTATTCAAACATGTAAAGCAGAAAAGTAAGTTAATGTTTTCCCCTTATTGTAAAGAGTTACCGTCCGATTCACACATTCATTCACTCATTCAGCAAATATTTACTAATCACATCTGGATTCAATAATATCATGTGAGAATATTGATTATGCAAAATAATCATGGATGCAAGTCTATTTTAGTCACAGTTAACATCATTGTTTGAAGAATAACTTACAACCCACTTTTCCTCTTATTTGGAATAGTAAAGTAAGGAATCTATATTCCTTTCTTTGTATCCATGATCTCTAAGAGAAGTCAGAAAGGAATATTATAAACATGCTGGAAAATGTCCTCACTTCATTCAAAATGTCTTGAAATGCCAATGGTCATTATGGATATAGTGAAGTATTACATTAATTCAACTTTTATGAGTGGCATTACCCTCACATATGCTTATTTACTTATTTCTAAATATACTGACTTCAAACATGGTTATTCACTTATTTCTGAGTATATTGACTTCTAAAAAATTACATTCAAGTCAAATGGAATTTAAATGGTAGTGCACCTGATCAATACACCAATGTTCCTGACATAATAATTAGCTCATCTTTCTTTTTTGTGAAATACATCAATTAAAACACCAAATTAAGAGTTATCAGCTATACCCATAGTGTTATTTTCTTTCTATCGGTACAAATAAGTATTCTGAGATAGGTTTATCATTTCTATATACTTACAAACTGCATGAAGTAAGGAACTATGTTTTGGAGTAACTTTCGCAAAAAAGGCTACTTTGTCAAAATGGTACTCATGCACAGTACAGCCTGGAGATATACTCTTTTTAATTAAATGGTATATAATTCAAGATCCCACTCAAATGTCACCACAAAGCTTCGTCTGACTACCTGCTCCCTTCCTAAACATTCTCTTACTTTCTCTTTCTCCCTCCTTTGAATATTCACTGCAATTTATATTTATATTTTAAAGTTATCATTATTTTCAACCATCTATTGTAAGGGTATGAGTAAATGCCTCATCTTCCATGATATGAAGCTTATATTGTACAAAACTCTTCTCATATTTTTCACTCCCACTTACGGTATCAGAATGCCTTACATATACTTGTTGCTCAAAATAATTTTCTGAATGAAAGGATATTTGCTACAAGTCATTTCCTAAGAAAAAACCTAACAAGAATTGTTTCAAGATATCTCAGGTCACTTTCTGTACATACCAAAAACTTTGGCTCATATCACGTTTAATTTTAGACCTTTATGCTGTAGTATTTTTATTGCTCTTTAATACATTTGGGTTTCTTACCCTTGTTTCTCAAAAAATCTATAAGCTCTCTAAGGCCAAGAATAGCCTTCTAACACTTTTCTACTCCCAGAATTCTTAGCACTGGAGCCACTAAGTAGGAGTATTCAATTCAACAGATTCACATTGCCAGAGGTTCATCTAAGGGACCACCCTTACATGAGAGGCTCTTCCAAGCTAGCAGCACCCCCTCTCCTGGTGAAGGGAATCAAGCCCCAAGACATGAGCTTACCATGGCAGTGACGTATGTGCGGTCCCCTTTGCCATTCCAAATCTGAATACAGGACACAGGCAAATTCAGTCCTATCCCTGTGGTCAGATTTCTCAGGTCAGCAGCCGCGTATTCCCCGCACAACAGCAAACTGTTGTTATCAGAGCCAAGTCCTAGAGATGCCCGGTAGAGATAGGTCCGGGAAAGTCTCTCAACTGTAGTGACATCTATTGTGGCTGATGCTGTGCAGGGATTTGCAGTCATTTTCCTTCTACACTGCAGATACTCTGGATGGTGACGGTAGCTCAGAGAGCAACAACCTGGGCTCTGGTGCAACTTGACACACACAAAGAAAACTAAGCACCCCAGGAATAAGACGGAAATACAGACCAGGGCAATAAGTAAATACAGGTTCTGGGTAGAGAGGTGCCCTCCTGTTTCCCAGGCATCTTCGAAGTCTGGAAGGACCTGCGGGGCAGAGTCACTCAACAGCACCCCCAGAGTGACAGAGGAGGAAAGTGGTGGGTCTCCACGGTCCTGGACCACTACCACCACCCTCTGTTTAACTGCATCTGTGGACAGAACTAATCGAGCAGTGCGGAGCTCTCCCATATGGGCTGAAATCCTGAACAGGCTGGAGTCAGAAGCCTGAGAGATGTGGTAGGAAAGCCAAGCATTCGAGCCGCTGTCTGCATCCTCTGCTACCACTTTTGTGACCAAGTGCCCAGTTCTGGCAGAACGGGGCACAATTTCCACCGGGACAGAGCCATTTCTGGGCAAGGGAAACAAGATGACTGGAGCATTGTCATTTCTGTCTATTACAAACAAGTTCACCGTCACAGTTGCACTTCTTGGGGGAATGCCACCATCGTGGGCTTCCACTTGGAAATGAAACCCCCTGAGCTGCTCAAAGTCAAAGGAAATTTTGGCAGTGATAGTCCCACTGGATGGCTCCACCCCCACTAAGCTGGAGGCCACCTGCCCTTCAGAGGCTCTATCCAGAAGCTCATAGAGGACAAGGCCATTCTTCCCCTGGTCCAGGTCCTGGGCAAACACCTGGCCTAAAGAGGCCCCAGGGCCATTGTTTTCAGCCACAAAAAGTTCCTGTTGAGGTTGAGAAAAGCTTGGTGTATTGTCATTGACATCAGCAATTGACACAGTCAGCGTTCTCCGGGTGCTGAGAGGGGGTGAGCCACCATCTGAGGCCGTGATGGACACCTGGTAGGCGCTCACCTGCTCCCGGTCCAATCGGCCGTCAGTCAGCAAGCTATAGTAGTTGTCAAAGGAAGCCTTCAGCTGAAAAGGACCTCCACTGGACAGGCTACAGCTGACCTGACCATTGGGGCCCAGGTCTTCATCCTTTACACTAAGGAAAGCAATCACGGTGCCAGGAGCAGCGTCCTCAGAAACTGGACTGGAGAGGGTCATGAGGATCACCTCGGGGGCATGATCATTCACATCGGTCACTTCCACCAGGAGTTTGGCAGTGCTGGCTAGACCAAAGGCTCCTTCATCCCTGGCTTCGACATATGCCTCCAACAACGTTTCAGGTGGGCCCAGTGAGGCAGCTACTCTCACCTCCCCGCTTCTAGGATGCACGTGAAAGAGGCGTCGCAGCTCTGCTCGCGTGCTATTGCTTAAGGAGTACCGGATTTCCCCATTGGAACCTTCATCCGGGTCCGAGGCCAGAACTTGGAATAACACAGTGCCGTTGGGTGCAGTCTCTGGCACTTTGGTGCGGTATACTGTGCGCTCAAATACGGGCGCGTTATCATTGGTGTCCACCACGATGATGGTGACGTGTGTGTCACCGGAGCGCGCGGGCCGCCCGCCATCCCGGGCGGAGAGCACTAACTGGTGGGTGGCGCGCTCCTCGCGATCCAGCGCTTCCTCCAATACCAACTCCGGGTATTCGCTGCCGTCGACCCGCAACCCCATGTCTAGGCGAAAGTGCTGGTTGGGGCTCAGGCTGTAGCTTAGCACCCCGTTGCTTCCCTCGTCAGCATCTTGGGCATTCGGGAGAGTAAAACGGGCTCCGGGCAGCAGGAACTCGGGGATATGCAGCTGCACATCGCTGCCAGGGAAGAGAGGTGAGTTGTCGTTGCTGTCCCGGACGTGGATGCGCATCTTGTGCAGCTCCAGCGGGTCCTGGAGCACCAGCTCGTAAGTCAAGATGCAAGTAGCTCTGGCCCCGCAGAGCAGCTCACGGTCCGCCGGCTCTTGGACCACCAAGCTACCGCTGCCCAGGTCCACCCCAAAGTAGGGCTCGCTGTGACTGGAAAGGAAGCGAAAGTTGCGCAAGGACAGAGCAACTGCTGACAGCTTCAAGTCCGCGGCAACATTGCCTACGGCTACGCCCCGCGGGGTTTCCTCCAACACGGAGTATTCCAGCTGTCCGGCGTCACAGCCACAAGAGACCCATAGACAGAGTACCGCCACCCCCCAGCCCACCATCCTCCCTCTCGGCGTCCTCGCTCCAGCAGGGGCGACCCCGGACCATGCTCCGGTTACCAGAGAGCACGAACCGTCGGAAAGAGCAAGCGGCGGGTGGCCGCGGTCGCGGGTTAGAGGCGCAGACCCCGCCGGCGTCCCGCCTCTTGAATGCCGGGATTGCCCGGCGCGGGCAGGCGGAGCGCCAGGCTTGCAAACCCCGGGCTCTGCTGCCGTCTGGGAAGCCGAGCCGCTGTGTGCGGAGGAGCGCAGCGCCGCCTAGGGGTGCAGAGCCGAGGTGAGCCGCCCCGGCGGCAAGGCGCGGTCTCCCCAGCCCCGGGGATCTCGCCCCCCAGCCCTGGCTGCGCACGGGGCGGAGCGAAGAAGCCGCGAGAGAAGCGGACGCAACTTCCCAGAAACGACGTTTCTTAAGACAACGCCCAAACCTCCCAGTTTAACCCCCACAGCCTTTGTGTGAAGACTACAGCCCGGGTTGAGCTCTCTCGGGTCCCCTCGCCAAATGAAGTCAAACTCTCCGGCCCACTGACCAGCTACTGTGCTGGGCGGAGCGGGGGCGGGGGAGGGGGGGCAGAGAAACCTCTGGGCGGAGGTGAGAGACGCGCCCCACGCGCCCCGCGCTACCTCGATCAACTTTTCTAGGCTGAAGGAAACTGGAGCCCCAGACCAAGTACATCCGGTGCTGGGTTCCCAGCCTGTCCCAGGAGGGTTAAAGTCTCTCCTGCACCTTCTTATATTCCAGGAGGTGCCAAGATTTCTGCAGCAGTGACCAGCAACGGGCAAACTGGTAAAGCGTCTTCAAGTTCCTACGGAACTCTCGGTTTTCAAGGTGCCCAAGTGGTTGAAAGCTTACGATTCTATAGATACTTTTTTTTTTTTTTTTTTTTTTTGCGGATTAATAGTCTCTCTGTCCCCAGGAATCCCGCTGAGAGTGCTTTGCAATCTGCTTTTGCCGCTCTGGGTGACATAGGCGGTTAGGAACCAGGTCAAGTTCAAGCACCAGAAACTCACAGATTGGCAGCTCGCCCCAAAACAGGATGGGCGGGAAAGAATGGACGCATTGAGATACTCTGCAGAATATGACCAAAAAACTACTCTGTAAATTTACCTTTCGTGAATAGTTAGAAGACAGCAATGAGGAAGAGTAAGAACATGCTGACCGATACACATACTTTCTCCAACTCCGTCTTTAAGCCAGTCTTCTGTATGGAAATCAGGACAATTCTATCAAAAACACCCCTGAACAACAAGAAATAGCTCCGCATTCCACCTATTACCTGACAACCAGTGGCCTTCCCTAAGAGGGAGGAGAGATGAAAAAAGTTTGCCTCAGGAAGTTTGCGCACTAAAACCTCCCTTTTAAATACAGTTGTGCAGTGTCCAAAACTCCCAAGAACCAAAATTTGAAAGACTAAGTGATCTAGAATTGAAAGTTTCAGGGCATTACATTTTTGGCCAGAAAACTAACTAAAAGTATTGATGATTATAAAGGCTGACTGCTGGATACATGCTCTTAACTTGATATAAATATAGAAATAATGTTTAATTACTGATTAAAATGAAGGTAGGGAGTTATAACATTCTGGTCATAAAACTAAAACTAAAGTAGAATTGGTCATTTCAGTGTGCTGCTAAGAACCAGTAATCTCCCAGACAACATCTCAAGCCCATACCTGGTCTCTCTTGGAGACATAGAAAGGGCAAGCGGTAATATAAGGCAAAGTAAGTAGTAAGACCCCTCTCTTTCTAAAGCAAGGAACCAAGAGATCTTTGACATCAAGTGTGAGATTAAATTAAAAAGGAACCACGTCAACTCCTGTGTTAAATAGAATAAGAGTAGCCATCATTGGGTATCTTCATTAAGATGTGAAATAACCCATAACATTAAACTTATCAAATTTATTCTTCACTAAGTTTTTTTTATAATAGTTTATTTTTACATTTGTGCCTTTTTCCATCTCAGTTGTAATCCCAGTGGGCTTCCCATCACCACATCATCTGTGTCATCACCATAGTCCATGCCCCTACCAACCTCCATTTCCACTATACCCCCTAAAAAGTCTCTGGTATATAGTTGTTCATTATTTTTCCCCCTGGTCCTTTATGCTCCTGCTATGAGTGAAACCATCCAGTATTTTTCTTTTTCTTTCTGGATTATTTCACTAAGCATGATCCCTTCCAGCTCCATCCAAATTGCTGCAAAAGTCATGAGTTTATCTTTTTGATTGCTAAGTAATATTCCATTGTATTCTTCACCAAATTTTAAAGTGAAAACTATTTATCTACTTCAAAAATAGAGATTGGTATTCACATTTTCTTATTTCAATTTAATGCTGCTAACCAAGCTGTTCTGCAGTAAATATAGTTTTCATTTTTCCAATAGCAGCAGACAAAATACATCTGGAGAGATGTACTCAACTTTAAGAAGATTCCCTGACTTTTAGACCTGCAATTAACCTTCCAGGAATTCTGAACACTATCAGAAGGGCACTTTTGGTATAGATTCTGAAGTCACGAGAAGCAAAAACATACTGTGAATTATTAGCATGGAAAATCTTGATTAAAAACCCTTTCCAACATACACTTGTCAGACTTTGATCTCTTTTTTCTCATTTTGCCATTTAATGGACACTGTTGTTTATTTTCAAAGGATTTACTTGTGTCAAGAATAAGCGGATGGCACTTACCTTCTTGGATAGGCACTATATGCCTATCTCTAGACTTAACATTGAATTTAGGGGAAAGCAACATTTAAGTATCCCAAGTAAGAGGAAGACTTTAGCAGTTTGCTTTTGGTATAATGTGAACATTAAAATCATGAATTAACAAAACTCCTCGTTAGTAGAATCTTTTGTTTATTATTTCACGGCTTTCTCCAATAGTTTCTCCTAATTTAGGCATTTCAAGCTTTTAATTAAAGGTGAGTAAAATATTGTCTTGATTTTTTGCTTGGGCTCTACTGCCAAGAGTATTGCTATAAAGCTCTCACACCAAACTTGGCATTAAGTTGTAAATTTAAAGATTTCTGACCATAAAGCATAAACTGCTATTAGGAGATCTTGAAGCCAACAAGAAAATAGTAAATCTGATACCAAAGAGTTGTCAGCAAAAGGATAATATATTTTAAATAAGAGTTTCTTAGTGATTAGGAGTATTTCCTGGTAATATAAAATGCACTTATGGAAACTAACTTCTGGGACAAGACTTCAAAATCATATGAAGGAAATTCCTTTCAAAATCATATGAAGGAGGCCCTCCCTGGTGCAGCAGGTTAAAGCACAGCACTGAGAATCTAAAGCAGCTTCCACATGAGTTCGATTCCCGCCTGCCCCCGAGGTGACCACATGGTGTGGCAGAACTCTGCTGATCCGCCCCGCTGCTCCCCTCAGCAGTGTACTTTGTCGATCTGCCTGTTCTGCTCCCCACTCTGTCTCTGGTGAAGCCTCTTGCCGCCCCTGAGCCTCTGGCCTGTACCCCAGTTCTGTATGCACAAATAAATAAATCTTTAAAAAAAATCATATGAAGGAAATAGCTTAATGAAGTATCCAAAAAAAAAAAAAACTAATTGTGAATTCTTTGAGGGTACAGTTAGGTGTATCATTCAGTTTTGTTTCTTGACTAAGTAAGCTCCAGGCACATAAATTGTCTAAGAGCATTCTGAATACACAACATCTACTTAATCTCTTTTTTAAAGTTGAACCCTTTACCAGTAACACATTATTACATAAATTCTCAGGTTTCTGTTACCAAGAAACTTTTCCTCCTTGACAAAATACTATATAAACTACCTTGAAACTTTATTCATGGTCATTCTAATGAACTCAATGCAATTTACTACTTTTTGAATTTATGTGCCAATATTTCCAAAATTACCTCTTTAGAAGTTTTTCTACTTCACTTTCAAAACATAGCCCTCAGAATTCACAATCATATTCTAGATTAGTCAATCAGCTCTAAGAAGAGTCTAGCCCTTAATTTCAAATACCACATATCAGAGAATAGTATCTAAAACTGCATCTGACCCTTTAAGAACTGCATCAAAAGCTTTCTCCTTGATAGATTAAAAACTAAAATATATGCCCTTTTTAAAAAAATTTGATTTTTTTTAATGCATGCAAGAGCTAGAGTGCAGGCCAAAGATATGGGGGTGAAAGGACTCACCAGAGACAAAGTAGGGAGCAGAACAGGCAGATGTATTGAAATACACTGCTGAGGGATGCAGCGAGCAGGTCAGGAGAGGTCTGCCATGCCTTGTGAGTCACTGGGGACCGAACTTGAGCTACCGTGACTGCAGATAGATTCATAGTGCTGCTCTTTAACACCTTGCACCACCAGGGAGCCCCAATACATGCCCTTTTTTATAGATGCTATTAAGTCACACACTGAAAAGTCCTAAACTTTTCATTTACTTTTTCTTTTTTACTCAAATTTGCTGAATGTCATAATGATAAGAGGTAGCCTATCTGGTCCCATTACATAATTCACCTACATTTAATTTCATATAGCCATGTAATTGGTGAACAGTCACACTAGATCTTTCCCTGGGCTACAAATAAAAATTTTCAAGGAGTAGGCCTGCAACCACCCTACTGAGATCAGCGTACCTACATCAAAATGAAAATCATATGAAATTATTGTCAAGATTCTCTAAAAATGACCTTACATAAGTCTCACATTATATTATAGGTTCAAACATGCTAAATAAAAGATTATCAGATCATTATAATAGATGCTTAAAAGAAGTTTTTTAAAACAGTTTATTTTTACATCATTTTGTACTTTTTTTTTCATCTCAATTGTAATCCCTGTGGTTTTCCCATGCTTAAAAGAAATTTAGTAACAATTTGACAGCTATCACCAAACAATGACTACTCATATAAACAGTAAAACAATTTCCAGCTAATTAAAGAAAAAATAATTAGGACTAAGAATATTCAATGAGATAAGATTATAAAATTGTTCTAAAAATAAAAGCCATAGCTTTCCTATATACCTGTATTAACTAGACCACAGTAGGATGTCTACCAGTTATGGATATATTTAAATGTATATTTGAAGATCTCTTCTTCCTCATCAGATCTGCCAAAAACTTTTAGAAAAGGGACAGCTAAAAAAAAAGTAAGTATATTTTTTATGAAGTTCTACAAAACATTTGTATTTCAACCATAATATATATAAAGA